TTTATATATGCATTATTAAATTTATATATGCAACATAGAAATACAAAAATATATATATATAGAAAAATTATAAAATATATATATTTTCCTATAAATATATATAAAAATGAATAGATTCCTTGCATAATTTTAATATATATTTGTAATATAAAATTTACAACAATAGAAATGACAGCAAATGAACACGTTCTTTATTTCACAATTTAAAAAATTATAATTAAATGAATATAAAAATATTATAAAATATTATAAAATATTGTTAATGTTATTTATGTTTAAAATATTGAAATAAGAAGAAATTCATATTTATCCTTGTACATATTGACCGTCATATCATGTGCATACTTACGATATAATATTCAGAATCAATTCACAACTGAATTTGTTATTTAATTTTATTTTTCATAATGTATAAATTTCATTCCTATTTTCACTAAATTTGTTAGTAAATTTCTAATATTTTAATTTAAACATTATAATTTAGATTATTTTCGAACAAATATTGACTAATCTTTCAATTACGAAGTAGTGTTCTATGGTTCTAAGAGAAATTGACTTGATCATCTGGATGTTATAGATATTTATTAACTGCTTTAATTAAAATGTAAGATAATATTTATCCAATTTTCATTATTTTTCATAAATCAAAAAATTTTTTTGTAATTGCGTGTTTACGTATGTATTCATGAAATATGTCGTTATATATTGTAACCCAAATTTAATAATTGAATTTTAGCTAAAATATTTTCTTTGTTATTATATCTTAAAATATCTTTATTATATCTTAAAATAAACAAAATTAAATTAAATTAAATTTGTAGAATATAATTATTGTATAATATATTGTGATATGTGTTTATATAAATATAAATACAAGAAGAAAGAAAATATATATGTATATACTATATGCACAGTGAGTACTTATTAAGTGGTTAGTATATCTGACATTGAAAATTATTCTACTTATAATTTGATTGTGAATAAGTTTTACTACAAATGTATGATTTTCAAATAAATTCACATTGTAAAGTTTTAATATTTTAGAGTCAAAGATGCCTGGAGAACCATCTATGAGTGGAAATAAGAGCTCTGGAAAAATTAAACGCATTTCTATTCCAAGAGTACAGAGTAGCACAGATACAGAATTGCAATCACAAAGTGGATCTACTCCATTGCAACCAACTGCACTTCACTATGCAGCATTTCGTACAGATCCTGATGAAAGTGTATTGCCACCAACTTTAAGATGTCGACTTTTTGAATTATTTCAACAAATAGAAAAAGAATTTGAAGTTCTTTACACAGAAAATTTAGGATGTATGAATATTAATTTTTTTATATAATATTTATTATAAAATATTATATTATGTATATATTAAATTCAAATTCGGAGAAAATATTTTTTTTCATTAGGAAAACAACTTTAAATTTAATTATTAATTAAAAATTATATTTATTGATCTAGTACAAGAAAAAATAGATACTCTTAGTGAGAGACTTGAAAGAGAATGTTATGGTTCTGGAGAACGGAGTTTACCTCTTGGAGATGTTGCAGACTTTCCAGATACAAAAGGTCTTTCCAAACAAAAATGTAAGAATGTTTAAAATTAATAAAATATGATAAATAATAATTATCTTAAATATTCCTTTCAATTATTAAATTAGATTATTATATTTATGTTTATAGCTATGGCAGGAAACTCAGCACCAAAAACAAAAACAACTTCTAATAAGTTAAAAGCTCAAACTAGTAAAATAGTTTCCAGTTTTAAAACACCAACAATGACTTGTAGTATGCAAAGAGAATATTCTGGACATCGAGATGGTGTTTGGGAAGTTTCTGTTGGAAGATCAGGCCAAATTATTGCTACAGCTTCTGCTGATCACAGTGCTAGAGTCTGGGCTGTTGATAGTGGACGTTGTTTATTGCAATATATTGGTTTGTTTTTATTTAAAATTTTATATTTTTTATTGTAATATAACTTATTTTAATTTATATTAAAAAATATTCTTATTATTTGATAAATTAACATTAGAAATATTATTATTATTTTTATATAAAATTTTTTAAGTTTTATATATATAATCAATTTTAAAAATTTTAATTTTATTTTTATTTATTTTATTAATTTCAATATTACATTTCAATTGATATATTTTTGGAATAAATATGTACTAATATATATATATATTATATGAACTAAAATAAAATTTTTCATTTTATAGGTCATTCTGGTTCTGTTAATTCCATACGTTTTCATCCTACCAAAGAGTTAGCACTCACATCAAGTGGAGATAATTCTGCTCATGTATGGCAAGCTGCTGTAGATTGGGATTTACCCAAAAGACAGAATTCATCTGAAGAACTTTCAGGCTTGAGTTCTGATAGAAATCTTAGTGGAGTGATTGTTTTAAATGAAGAGCAAGAAGAACCTCCTACATTGAGGTAAGGATTAAAAGTTAATTTAAATTTTTTTTATTTTTCAATCTGATTTTTAATTTATTCATTGTATTTATTTTATAAATATTTTAAATTAAAATGATCTTTTTTGGATGTAAATAAAATTTATATCAAATCATAACGATTGATAACGAACATATTGAAATAATTTATTTGTGCTGTTTTGTGAAATATTATAGAACTCCAGTACGAGAATTATTAGGTCATACGGGTGTCGTTATGGCCGCAGATTGGTTACCTGATGCAGAACAAGTGGTTACTGCTTCTTGGGATAGAACAGCGAATCTTTATGATGTAGAAACTGGAGAAATTATTCATACATTATGTGGACATGATCAAGAACTTTCTCATGTATCAACTCATCATACACAAAGACTTTGTGTTACTTCAAGCAAAGACAGTACTTTTCGTTTGTGGGATTTTAGAGAATCTATTCATTCAGTTTCTGTTTTTCAAGCACATACCGAGTAAGTAAATTCGATAAATCGTCATTAAATGAAATAATTATTATCATTTTAAATGCAGGACTGTAACATCAGCTGTCTTTACACGTGAAGATAAAATTGTTTCTGGTTCAGATGATAGAAGCGTAAAAATATGGGAATTACGAAATATACGAAGTCCTTTAGCTACAATTCGAGGTGATAGTGCTGCTAACCGATTAGCAGTATCAAGCACTGGCATTGTTGCAATTCCACATGATAACCGACAAATTAGATTATTTGATCTTAGTGGTCAACGATTAGCTAGATTGC